TCATAAAACGTTTCTCGTAATTTTAGGGCTTTATTCTCATAATATTATAACTTTATTCTCATAATTTTAAGACTGTATTCTCGTAATTTTATGACTTCAATTCTTGTAATTTACGAATTTTCTTGTCATTTTATGAATTTATTCTTGTAATTTTATTAATTTATTTTTGTAATATTATGACTTCATTCTCCTAATTTTCAGCTCTATTTTCGTAATTATATGATTTTATTCTCGTTATCTTATGAATTTATTCTCCTAATTTTACAACTTTATTCTCATAATTTTAAGACTGTATTCCCGTAATTTTATGACTTCATTCTTGTAATTTACAAATTTATTCTTGTAATGTTACGACTTTATTCTCGTAATTTTCCGACTTTATTCTCCTAATTTTACAACGTTATTCTCATAATTTTACGACTTGAGTCTTGTAATTTTAGGAATATATTCTCGTAATTTTATGAATTTATTCTCCTAATTTTCAGCTCTATTTTCGTAATTATATGATTTTATTTTCGTAGTCTTAGGAATTTATTCTCCTAATTTTACAACGTTATTCTCATAATTTTACGACTTGAGTCTTGTAATTTTAGGAATATATTCTCGTAATTTTATGAATTTATTCTCCTAATTTTCAGCTCTATTTTCGTAATTATATGATTTTATTTTCGTAGTCTTAGGAATTTATTCTCCTAATTTTACAACGTTATTCTCATAATTTTACGACTTGAGTCTTGTAATTTTTTTAATTTATTCTCGTAATTTTATGAATTTATTCTTGTAATATTATGACTTTATTCTCCTAATCTTCAGCTGTATTTTCATAATTATATGATTTTATTCTCGTAATTTTAGGAATTTATTCTTGTAATATTATGTCTTTATTCTCCTAATTTTCAGCTGTATTTTCATAATAATATGATTTTATTCTCGTAATTTTAGGAATTTATTCTCCTAATTTTACAACTTCATTCTCATAATTTTACGATATTATTCTCTAAATAGAAGAAAAAAAATCTCTGTCCTGGCCCTTATACTCCATTGTAGCTCTAAATGGAAAGTCTCTTTAATAAATGTCTATCTGCGTCTTCTTCTCTTGTGTCTGCACACAGCAAGAGAGGCTGCGATGTGGGAGCTGGAAGAACGCCACCTGCAGGAGAAACACCAGCTGTTCAAGCAGCAGCTCAAAGATCAGTACTTCATGCAGAGACACCAGCTGCTGAAGAGACATGAGAAGGTATGAAGCATCGCTGCAGACCTGAACTGCCTCCTCCGGGATCCTTTATGTGCATCTGGATGACAAAGCTCTGCTCTGAAGTGACAGAATAAAAACATTCTGCCGGTTTCCGAGTATTAACACCATTTGGTTTATGTTGCTTCCAGGAGATGGAGCAGATGCAGCGCTACAACCAGCGACTGATCGAGGAGCTGAAGAACAAGCAGACCCAGGAGAGAGCCCGGCTGCCCAAAATCCAACGCAGCGAGGCCAAGACACGCATGGCCATGTTTAAGAAGAGCCTCCGCATCACGGGAGCTCTGATCACCCCCGAGCAGGAGAGGGAGAAAGTGAAACAGGTGAGGCGGCGGCATCGGATCACAGAGAGCCGCTAGATGACTAGCAGACAGGCTGATGACCCAGACTGTGTCTCCAGTTTGCTGCGCAGGAGGAGAAGAGGCAGAAGAACGAGCGTCTCCATCAGCAGCAGAAGCATGAAAACCAGATGAGAGACCTGCAGCTGCAGTGCGACGCCAACATCCGAGAGCTGCAGCAGCTGCAGGTCAGATCTCCGCTTTAAGCCGACCGAAACCTAGCTTTAATTCAGGGACGAGGAACTAATGTCAGGCTGGTTTTTCAGAATGAAAAGTGTCACCTGCTCATCGAACATGAGACCCAGAAGCTGAAGGAGCTCGATGAGGAGCACAGCGTGGAGCTGAAGGAGTGGAGGGAGAAACTCAGACCCAGGAAGAAGGTAAACCTCTTTCTTCCAGCGTTCTGGTTGCAGATGGTCGATTTCAGACATAAGCCCATTAGATCTAGTTTTAGTCTGTTTGTTTTTTTTACAAGAAAGCAGAAAATCTAAGACATCAGGTCCTTTTCTGATCCCCGAATGCACTTAAACTAAGCTCTGCCAGCGCACACTCACCTCACTGACTGAAATGTTTGTTTGACAGTTTCAAACAGATTCTAGATTTAGACCAGATTGTTCATTTGAAAACGAATCATTAGCACTGGATTTGGAGGCCTGTGGATCAGACTGACTGTCATAGTTAGGACAGAACACCTGTCATTATCATAGAGGACTCTCTGTGACTGTTATTAGTTCAATCTCATAAATCATGACCCTTTTGACATTTTTTTGACAGCTTGGCATCAACGCACTAAAAACCTTGGAATTAACTAACCAATAAAAATGCATCATAATAGATCTAGTTATAAACCTGTATAAATATAATTAACAGATTTTATTTCATATGAGATTAGTCTTAGCTTTCACTGCATTGAGATCATTTCATTATTTATAAAGGGTAAAATTCAGCATTAGTTCTAAAGATGACGTTAAGAGTTTCCACACTGTGAGATTACTTTAAAGTCTTAGGGAAATCATATTTAAATGTCAAATCATTATGGTTGAACAAGTATATAAATATACTATTTATTGTCCCAAAATTTAGAAAATTTCTGTTTAAAAAAATAATAATCCTGTCTTAAAATCTGTGTTTTTTCTTCTCGTTATTTTATGCAGGTCAGTTAGTTATACGTCAGCCTGAAGACCTAAATTCGGCCAATTATATATCAATGGTCATCTGTCAATCAAATGTTTTCGGTCACAGCATCTTGATTTATATGTCGCAGCTAATATACACAACAGTTGAAATAATAATCATTTCCTTTCCCATTGAGTTCCGTCCCAGTGTTCACGGGGATGGACGTCTGTGTCTTCAGCAGTCGTAGAGCTAACAGAACTGGCAGCGTTGCGAGGCAAGGGCTCAAACATGTACGGCTGTAAGCCTTCTACACCAAACCAAGCTTCTGCCACCCTGGCGTCCTCTTCCACAACATCTTCATCCCTGCTTTCCTCCTTTAAATAAAAAATGTTTGATGGAGGAGACTCATCCACGACCTCCGACACTAAACTCTCCTCCTCTTGCATGTTTCCGCTGTCCATAGCGTTCCATGACAGTGTCGTTTCTAAGTCACCAATTTAGTGCTACTTGGTCCCAATGGAATTTCGCATTGGGAACCTACTAGCACTAAGTTGCTAACTGGTTAGCAAGATGCTTCCGACAAACCGACCTCAACCAAACTTGCTTGTGAACCTTACGCCACAACAATCCCGCACCCTTGATAAACGACCAATCACATTCACTTTATTCACTCGTGTAAAGTCGGGAACCACTCGGGAGAATACAGAAATGCAACGATTGGAACGGCCGCTTCCCTACAACTTTAAGGCAAAGTTGTAGGGAAGTCAAAGTTTTTTATGACAGCTTGACGTCAACACACCAAAAATCTTGGAATTAACTAACCAATAAAAATGCATCGTAATAGTTCTAGTTATGAACCTTCATAAATATATTTAGTAGATTCCATGATGCTGTCATATGGGATTCGTCTTAGCTTTAACTGCATTGAGGTCATTTCATTATCTATAAAGAGTAAAATGCAGCTTTAGTTCTAAAAATAAACATAATTTTCATACTGTGAGATTAATAACAGTTGTTTTACCTCAAGCAAAGTTTAACAAGCTGAACAACTTGCAGAGATGTTATCATAAACTCACAGTGACTGTGTGGCATAATGTTAAAACATATATCTAAAGAACTTTTTAAAGGTTTATAAGTAGACAGGTCTATTCAGGTTTATGGTATTAATGTCAGATTGTCACTAAAAAAACCTTTAAACGATGGGACTTTGCTTTAAAAACATAATAATTTACCAAATCACACTTAATTAGAAGTGTCATAAACTTTCATAAAGACTCCTTCATGTCTGATGTACACACCTTCAAATAAAATGTTATTAGTATATTGAATTTGGCATTGTAACTTCACTAAATAGTAACTAAATGAGTCAGGATTGAGCATAACTCTGACCACTAGATGGAGACAAAGTTGCTAATGTCATCATTGGTGTGTGTAGGATATGCCTCATTAGTGAGTCCTCTGTTTTGGGATCACCACAGTGAGTCAATGCAACTTTAGGTGGAATGTAACCCAATTAGGAACCCAAAGATTATAGAGCCTCTCAGTAACTAGATACCAGTACCAGACCTCAGGAGCTTCAGGAACGTCGGAATTATTCGCCCTTTTTCCCACCTGTGGTTTGTTCAACCTAAACCTTTGTTGCTTCAGGCGCTGGAAGACGAGTTCGCCAGGAAGCTGCAGGAACAGGAAGTGTTCTTCAAGATGAGCGGCGAGTCCGAGTGCCTTAACCCTTCCAGCCAGAGCCGCATCTCCAAGTTCTACCCGATCCCCACCGTCCACTCTACCGGTTTCTAACGGAACCGACAAGCAGACCATGACGCTGAAGGTTGAGCTGCTGCTGCTGCGCGGCTCCGGTCGCCATATCTAACGGAGCTCCATCCTGTCTAAAAATCCAGTGCCTGTAGAACCGGAAATATCTTCCCTTTTGGATCGCTGCAGACGTTTGCACTAAGGATTGGCTCTTTTTATGGTTAAACATGATTTCTAAGTGATTATAATACAGACGGTATTTCTAACTAAACACACTCCTCTCGAAGGAACAAGTTATTTTATATTTTTATGTAATTGTAGATTGTTTTGGTTTAGGCTGTGATACTTTAATCCTCAGTGGGACTTGAATGCAGTTTTTCCTCTTCAGAGAGCTGAAAATGGAGCATTTTCCACTACTAGCTGTTAGCCTTAATCATTCAGTTATACCATAAATCTGTTTCTGCGCCTTTAAGGATTCAGACATGTTGTGAAGGTTTGTATTTAGCAGAAGTTATCTTTCTATTCTAACAACATAAACACATAAATCTTTTCTTCAATTTTATTTGTATCAATGTAAAAAAAAAAAAAACTGGACCTGACTGGTTTAGGCCTTTCTGACCTCTGATTGGTTCCTCTTCTCCTTCGTTTCTCCTGATTGGCTTTTTTGACTTGTTGAATAAATATAACAAAGGAGTGCTGTGCACCTTTTTTTTAGAAAAATATTTTCTGCAACTATTTATACAAAAACTGCTCAGCTTCCTAAATCCAGACTCAAAACATATCAGTCATTATTTCCTTTTTTTTTTTTAAATACATGTATAGTTTTTAGAAATGCTTCTATCATGTTGATTTTCATTCTCCTGTAAATAAAATATTTCTTCTCAGACAAAAGGCTTCTATTGGTGTTTTAAACCAAATTGTAGAAAACTGAATGAAATGCCCAGAATGAATGACAAATATCAGCACCCTAAACACCCCGCCGTATAAAAACAGTTCAACTCTTTAAACAGTTCATGTCCAATAACTAATGTGGAGAAACATCTGAGAGCTCAACGTCCCGCCTTTCAAACACCAGCGCTTCTCCTCTTTCTTGTTGTCAGCGAGAAATCTCCTGAAACGACACAAAAAGTTCATTTAAAAACAGAAATGTTCTGCAGATGTTTCTCGAAACATTAGAATGACAGGAAAACGTTCACTTATTCAGTTTCTTTTTTTTTTTTTTCTTTTTTTTTTTTTTTTCTCCAGTGTCCTGTGTGGCAATGTGGCAATAAGAATAATTGTCTTTCTGCCAAAAAGAGCCCAACAGATTTTACTTTCACAAGTGGAGCAGTACGGCTTTTACCATAGTGTTCAGTTTGATTTACGCATGTAAATAACTTTATTTTAATTCATGCAGGGAGTATTACAGATTATATGGACACTGCAATGTTAGTAGAACCGGAAAGGAAAAACAGGAAAAAGGAGAAAAAAATAAAAGGAAGACGAGGATATCACTTATTCAGTTTGATTGACTTTTGGGTTTTCAGATCATAAAAGTGATCAATTGTGTTCCTCAGAAGATTAGATCTGACCAATATCAAGGAGTACAGACTCCAGAACATTTCAGCCTGGGACCCGAAAACTAACAATCCAAGAGACTGACAACCCCGTAAAATTCATTCTAACGATCATCAAAGTGAAGTAAATATATAAGTTTTTAAATTATTTTTAATGATATTCATTAATCCATCATTTTAAATGTTTTTTATGTGACTCTTAATTTTTTAGGCATTACATTTATTATTTTAACAATGATTTATATAAATACATAATACAGTTACTTATTACACATTCGTTTTTCTGTGGAAAATTCACATTTATGTGTTTCATTATATGTTTTGGCCCCAAATGCACCTCAGATTACATTGTAGTGATCAGGGGTGAATCTAGAGGGTGATGATGACCACCAGAGGATTTGTTTTTCCCACTGGGATGTAATTCACCTCTGGAACAAACAGTTCTCCTCTAAACCAGAAGGTGGCAGCAGTGATTTGACCACAGAGTAGCTCTGTATTATGGAAGCATCAGCCTGATTACTAATGTTTATAACAGGCTGAACCAGAGTCCTGCACATGGATGGCTGCCAGTATAAAACATACATCTACAGGTAGAAAAAAATCTATTTTATTACACAGGTGCAGCACAGGGATAAATAAAAAGATACAGATATCACAGAGTTACAGAATGAATGATACTTATTAACTCTCCATCTTATGAAACAAACTGTTTCAATAACATCCACATAACATTATTTTTTTAAGCAAAGAGGCCAACCTTACTTTGGCCAATTTACAGCTGTTAATCTTGAGCGCAGCGCCCTCTGGATGTCAGTGTGAGGGTATGTTCTTCACTAACTCTGTCATTATAAACAGCTGTGTTTTCATTTTTTCCCCCACTTTATTATTTACGGGTCCGTGCGGTGCTGGACAGGTTTTAAATGGGGATCATAGCAGGTAACGGGACTTGGTTCTGAACTTTACGGGTAGGCGGATACAGTTTAGAAAGATCATGCAGCCCTGGCCGAACCTGTATGTAGAAGCAAATTATATTCTGGCAAAAAAGCAAAAGGATTCAGGAAATGTGAGACCTGATTAGATCACATTTATGTTCTATGATCGGTGCTAAAGGCCAGATCATACGAAGGAAAACATCAATTTGCCTTTTTTATTAACTTGCCGGAGGCAATTAATTATACTAATGCAGACTTTTGCAATATAGATTAATAAATTATCCCATTTCTGTTTTCTTTGATTTTAAAAAAAAAAAAAGCTCCTATTATAGAAAAAAGGCAGCAGTTGCCAAGCAATGTCTAACTCAACATTTTAGGGAAGCATGGAAGCAGAAAAAGTCCAGCAGGTCTTTTAGAGAAACTCACGATGCCTTCAAGGTCTCATTTTTTTCAGTGAGGTCCAGACTTCTTTTTTTCTACCATCACATGAACTACATTCTTGTTCACAGTTTTTGGTCCTCAATTCCTCAAAGTGTTCGGATAAAGAATGTAAACATCTGCACTAACAATCCAAGTGTTTTTAGAATTTGTTGCATCAAACAAACGGCTAAACCTTTTAACAGTCTGTGAAGCTGCTGAAGGACTGCAGAGATCTTTGATTTAGTTAAAAACCCGTTTATCTTTTTTAAAGCTAAAATAAGATCCCTGTAATCTAACTTTGTCCTCCATAGAACTGACCTCTGTCCCCTTTTGGTCCTCTGTGTCCCTGAAGTCCTGGAAAACCTCGTTCACCTGGAAAATCAAAGACATTTATATGTTAACATTAAATCTTTGAGTAAAAACACAAATAAGTCAGAAAACGTAAGACGATGTTGATCTCCTCCAGATTCTGAACCTAAATCCATAAAATGCTTCTTTGATTAGTTGCCCATCAGGTTTTTTAAAACATTTTCTTCCAGCTGCTACTAATAAATTGCAGTTAATAAAAACATCCCAGTTGGGTCGTTTTTCCAAAAGCCTTGAAAACTGAAACTGGTAAAAAGTTTAAATTGATATACATCTTGACAGTAAAGGGTCTAAAACATCTGTTTTTGTCTGATCCATGTTATAATATACTGACTGATTGGCTTGAAAAGCTGGACTGGACTATTACTGAGCTGTAAAGGTCTTAATGGGCAGGCTGGTATTATTTAATTTCATTTGGTAACTATTAATCCAGTCAAATTACAGGGAACCATGGAGTTCCTCAAGGGTTTGTTCTCAGCCCACTTTATTTTTATATCAATATAATTTCTCTACCCTGGATTATAGAATCCAGCTGTGAAAAAATCCATCAAGTCGTTGTTGCTTGGCAACAATCTTGAGTCTTCATCAATTCTTGGAAAATGGATCATATCACATCAGCTATTAAATACCTAGACTGAGATTCTGTTTGTCAAAGAATAGATTTTTTTCATTTTGTTCTTGGCCATTATAGTGAAATGAGGTCAAAATAAATAAATAAATAAAATTATACCATGGAGATCCCTCAGTTTAATCCGTGTTCCCAGAAGCAGAGATAAAGGACGAGGGAAAGTATTTGGCTTCAGTGCAAATTCAAGCTGGATTAAACTTCCCACATGTTTTTAAATTTGTGTTTTCCTTAAAATCAGGACTGGAAACATTTTTTCAACAGCTTTCAAATTCTTTTGTTTCTTTTTACCACTTGTTTCCCAACCTTCAAATCCCTTTAGATCATCTTGTAAATAAATGATGCTAGGTCAGTAAATATTCCTTGCCTCCTTGTGCCTTACCTTTTGCTCCGGGCAGTCCAGGGAGTCCTGCGTCTCCTTTTGGTCCTGGTCTGCCAGGTGGTCCCACAATCTCTCCATGGCCTGTTAAGGATAATACACTTGTTAGTCTACTTTGCATGTTTGAATTTATAGCCAGTCTATTTGGAAATAAGATGTTTTACTTTTAATATAGTCCATTATGTCAACAACATTTGTGTGAGAACCAAACAGCTGCATCTCCCCTGGTGGACCTGGAGGTCCCTGTGGTCCTGGGGGACCATGCTTTAGACCTGCAAAATAGGAGACAAGAAGCTGTTAGCTGTAGCGTGACCTATGTTTTGGCAGATCTTAGATCGTCTAGTTTGCTGTAGTTTCTTACTTTGGATAATTTCCATTAGATTTGTGGTGTTTCCAGGGGAACCAAACCAGGCAGGACCTGGAGGCCCAGGTGGTCCTGGAGGACCTTGAAAGATCCTACTGTTGTAGTCCTCCACAATGTCATCCAGTACACCATGGGCTGAAAATGAGCAAAGATGCTAATAAACACATTTTAACCACTAGTTAAGGTAGAGTTAACTATACTTCAAATTTTTTTTATTTTTCCAACCCTAATCCTGAAATAAACAGGATGATCATAGACATAGCTTATAAATCAGTCTGAAAATAGATTAATAAAAAAATTATTTAACACAAAAGTTTAACACAAGTTTAGAAAAGCAGCATCTACCACTGCAATCAGCTGCAGACGATTAGCAGCTAAAGAACGGCATCAAAAAGATCAATATGTCATGATCTCGGCTCTGATGGTTGGCCTTAGTGCACACTCCATTCACCTGTCTAACTCTGCCTGGTTGCTCATTAACCACTCATCTGATCCACCTGCTGCTATCTCTATTTAAGGTACTTGCATCCAGCTAGCATTGTCAGATTATCTTGTTCTCACTCTTAGGGGCCAGTGGAGAGAGGGTTTTTTAGCGTTCCGTAGTGTTTCTAATTTCCTGATCCTGTTCTGCCTCTCAACCACTGAGCGTGCCTGTTCCTATCTGAACGTTCTGCCTGAATTGTCTGTGGACTCATGGAACCTTGAACTAGCTTGTTCCTATTCTGATCTGTATCCCTGGCCGGGCTTTGGGCTTCTGAACCTCTGAGCCTTCCTGTTCTGATCTGTTTGCCTAACCTGGCTCAGATTCCTGCTTGTTCTCCGGGACTGCAGAATAGTTGGCAGCACACAACCCTGGTTAGTTCCTACCTAGTTCTATGGAGATGGACTGAACTGTTAAATCAGGTTAGCGACTCACATGGGTAGCCATCCTCTGGCAAATTATCATGGTCACTAACTTGTGTATTTCTCCAAGTTTCCTGTGATGGACGGCACGCCGCCCTAGCCGTTGATACTGCAGATCCACGGCCTGCCTCTGTTTCAATAAACCCTTTTTGGGTTATCACCCTGTCTTTCTAACCTGAATACTGGGTCCTTCTGTCCTGCTTCATGACACATTATTCCATCCATCCATCCATCCATTATCTGACATGCTTGTCCCAACTGGGGTCGCGAGGGGTGCTGGTGCCTACATTATTCTTACAATTATTCTCAACACACTAAAAGTTTTTTATAAGAGGCAGGATCTAATTTCTAAATAAACTAGAGGAAATATTTTTGCTTTTCAGACTGGGAACTTTTGCCTCAGGTCTGAAGACGATTCTGTCCTTTGCTCTTCAGGACTCTGGGTGGGAATCATTTATGTGCACACTGGTGAATTCTGGCCATAAGGTATCACCAAAAACTGAATAATGTTTTAAGAACAAATCGGCGCTTGTATGACTTCATCCACGCATGCGGACTGGAGTTGTGACAGGCAGCCTGGGCGACAGGCGGCTACGCTCTACCCCTTCTATTCGTTCGACTAGCTAATCTGAATCATTCAATTCCATTTTGAGAGCGAGATCATCTGTGGTAGTAGCACTAGACATCTTCCAGGCATGTGAGTAAAACTAGCAGCAGTTCAGCGGACAGGATGAATGAATGGTAGCTGGCGCGCGGATGACGTCAGACACGCGCCGCTTCGTTTTTAAAAGATATAAATATAAAAAATATAAATGCGGATGTCTGGGGGACAGTGATTCACCTACATGTTATAAATGCTGGCGTACCATAAACAATAAATGAACAGTTTAGTTTGTGCCTGCAAGTCGTTGCCCATAGGAAGACGTTACTTGGATATACCTAACCTAACGGAATATCTTCAGAACGGCTCCAAATGACACAAAACTCATGGGTGAGTAGAACATGATGTAATAACGTAAAATCAAGGGCCAAATGTAAAAAAAAACAGTGTTCCCCTTTAAGTGTCCCTTCAGATTCGTCTTAAATTATATCAGATTTCTTCATTGTTTTACTGTTGGGACATAAAGCTGGTATTGCCGATGTGTTCAACTGCTAGATACAGAACCAACCAGTCGGGTGATGCTACTGCGTGGAGGGCTACAACATGGCAGTGCCCTACCAAAAGAATGATAAACAATACTACGTTTTTCTTTTCTTTTATATTTACAAATGTTGACTTTATAATCAAACTACCTTTACCTCCATTTAAGAACTCTGTGAAGAAAACATCTAGTCAACTTTTCCAAAAATCTGTGCACAAGCCACAAAGCTCCTCCTAAATCTAAGGTTCTAGAAACCATTGGGGTAAAGTTTTCCAGGTTGGCTGAACAAGGCTGATGAGTTATAATTCCTTTAACTAACATCTCATGTCTTTGATTAGATTTTAATAAAAGGTTCATAACTGACCATAAAAAGAAATAGACTCTAATTAGAATTCCTACGCAAAAAACAAAACTCGAAAGGAAACTTCATGAACATGTTTGAAAGTTACCTTTGATGTAATCGGATACTCTTTTAGCCATAATGGTGTCAAGAGAGTTCGGACTCCACTCAATGCTACTGCCCAAACCTGGCTCTCCCTTATGTCCCGGAGGGCCTCTGAGGTAAACACCTGCAAGGTGAGTAGAAATGTAAATGATAAGTGTGGTTTCCTACAACTACTACGACGAAGATGGGACCTTTACTGAATGTCTGTAAACCTCTGTGAACTTAGACAATGCTGGGAAGGAAATGGACCAGAACAGGTAAGTACTAGGCTGGTTCTACAAGCTGTGAACTCACTCTCCAGATAGTCCCGGATATCTGAGCTAACATAGCTCCCAAATCCTGGTGGTCCAGGTGGTCCTGGTGGACCTTGTGGCCCGGGAAAGCCAGGAGCACCAGGAGGTCCTGGAGGGCCGATGAGAGACTGGAACCCATCTAGACGGACAACAGAGATCAAAATGTGTTAGTTTCTCATCTGGGACGAATTAAATATACCAAGGCAGGCATTTAGTGACATGAAATATATATTTTTGAAAGAAGTTATACTGTCTGCACTTTTCGATGAGTGAACCTCTTACTTGTTATCAGGTTCCCAGGAGGACCAGGAGGACCAGGGGGTCCTGGGGCTCCAGAGGTCCCCAACACCCCCCTCTCTGGTGACAGAAATAACCAAATATCAGGCATAACTAAACATGTTTCTTGCTTTGAACATAAAGCATGTAGTTAGCAGTCACCTTTCAAGATAATGAAGACACGTTCAGCAACCTCCTGTGGATTAAAGTTGTAGCCACTGATACCTGGACCTCCGGGAGGTCCTGGTGGCCCAGGTGGACCCGTAAGGTATACCCTCACATCATCTCCTGTACAAAAAAATTTAGCCAACAAAAGTATATGTATAAATTAACTTTCAAACATGGGGAAAACTCAATGCTACTCCATGGCCTTTAGTTTGCCCTTGTATGTCAAAACACAAATGATACCATTAGCACAATCATCCTAAATGCTAAAGGTTCCAGCTTTTGCCTGTGTGAATTCTCACAGGAATGATGTTTCAGCTTCCAAGTATCTACAGCTCTGTTCTGGAACTGATTTCAAAGAAGTTACACAAGCAGAGTAATCATGATCCAAATGGCCAAACACAGCACCCCTACACAACAAAAAAGACTCAGACAACCAGGAGAATGACGGGCTGGTCTTTGATTGGCATCTGACTAAGAATGTGCTTAGGAGGATTTACCATCATGGTGCTTAAATACATCAGCACTCCAGCTACAGACTGCTTCAATACTTATTACACTGGGATTTTATTGTGGATGTACTTACGCTGCAATAGAGTGATGATGTCACTGACAGAGACAGATCCAGGTGGACCAGGTGCTCTTGGACCTGAACCTGCATGAGAAAACATTTTAAGACAAATAACAGATCTGTTAGCTGGACAGCTGTGTTTAAAAAATGATGTCAAAAACACGAAACAACATGCTCATACTCTGGATATAGGAAATAACTCGACTGGCAACGCTGTCCACCAGGGCGTCTTCTGAAAAACCAGGAGAGCCAGGTTCTCCAGGAGGTCCAGGAGGACCAGGAGGTCCAGCCAAGTATTGCCTAATGTTGTTACCTGTGGGTCACAGAAAAAAAATCTTCTTTAGCACTTTGATTAATCTTTGTTCTATAAATCCAGAACCTTCAAACACATTGAAGGGCTTACCCTGGAAGTATTCAGCAATATACTGGCCCATGTTGGGTACTTCACTTCCTGGTGCACCTGGTGGTCCGGGTGGTCCCTGTGGTCCAGGAATATACGTGGTTCCTGAAAAATAAGATTAATTATTAAGGACTTGATGTATTCAGACAAGTAGCAATAACATGGAGAGACTATACCCGTCATTTCATTTGCAGTTTATTTAATCACCAGGAAAACTCCCAAATCTTTTTTATTTTATTTATTTTTAGAAAAACTTCCAAGGAATCTGATCTGATAGCTTATCCCATAATTACGAGATAAGGTCTCATGATTATAAGATAATATGTTATATTTAGGAGATCAGGATGGACATTAATTGCCAAGCAACGCTACGTGAAACATGAACAATGAGTGGGTTTTTGGATTTAATCTGCTTTTATTTTCTTTTATGTAATGCGACACAGGGAAATACTGACTTTCCTCAATGGATTGAATTAGTTTTATTTTGTCAACAATGCGCAGTAAGTCCCTAGAATAAAGCCCACTCTACTTCGACTTGCTGGAAGTTGCACTGTTCCTGTAGGAGCAATTAAACCAGCATGCAGTTCTTTATGGCTATAAATGAATGCATCTGAAATGCATTCCAGCTGGCTTGGTGTGTCCCAAAGAGCTGTCCGGTATCTTCTCAAAATCCTAGATCCTCAAGCAGCACAGCTGAGGCTTCAGAATCGTTTAAGACGAACAAGTCCCAACTTTATGTGGCCGTTATGTGGTCTCTATTAATGGAGCTGTTGATGGGTTTTCCTGTACGGTCATAAGGCTGCCTGCTTACTCCACAACAGTGGCGGCCGGCCCATAGGGGGCGCTGGGGCACCGCCCTCCCTGATAAGAAGAGAGAAACGTAAAATATATTTTTAGAAATTAACTCATAAATGTCAGTTTTACTCTCTAGACTGTGTAACTATAAGCAAAACAAATTATATAAACTACATTTCCCTATCTACTGTCATTAATTTGTGGATTTCCACAGACAGACTCCTACCATCTCTGTTCTGGGGGCTGTGATCAGACTGACCCACATTTGCAGAGAATCTGTCAATCATGTATTATTGCTAGGTAAATTTAATGGCCAATCAGCGTCTCGGAACTTTATGGTATTGGGGCGCTGAAAATACTGCGCTTTTACAGGCTTCTGAACCCAAGCGCAGGTGCAGACAATTAGAGGGAAGATGGCGAACGTAACGAGCGAGATGCAGCTTCCACCAAATTCGATGAGATCCTTATTTATCTACCCGTTTGCCAGAAGAACATCCCTGTTGTAGGATATGACCATTTCATTTCATGGTTATTGTGACTATGACGAATCCACCTCGTCGCTTAAAACAACCTCTCTAACTTTGCGCGCCACACACACATTCCTGTTATACTGTGTTTGTGAGGACCAATACACTCGCGCTGAGATCAGTAGCTCCATGAACTTAAAACACACAAGCTGTTCCTGGTTACCTGCTGGTGTATTGAGGGTGCACACTTAATATTTCAGTGGGGTTAGCCGTGTGTGTGTGTGTGTGTGTGTGTGTGTGTGTGTGTGTGTGTGTGTGTGTGTGTGTGTGTGTGTGTGTGTGTGTGTGTGTGTGTGTGTGTGTATGTGAGGGGTGTGGGTGTGTACGTGTTTATGCGGGGACTTGTCATCTTCAGTCTGGCTGCGTCTTTGCTGGGTTCAAACCCAGTTTGGTGTAATTGAATAAGTCAATGAAAAAAGAATTGTGTAAAAGAATTGTGTAAAAGAATTAAGTTGTAAAAATTATTTGTTTTTGTACATCAATTGTTGGTGGAGGTAATATATGGACAAAACTGATTAATGAGAAGAAATCAGAAATAAGAGAGCCTGAGGTGAGGGGCTTAAACTATTTAATGAGGGCTGTGGGAAGAAAAGCGGCAATTTTTGTTTTCTGTTTCTTTGTTACATTGCTGGTAACTGGAGGGAGGCTGAGGCCCAGAGTGTCTTGTATATGTTTAGTTTCTTTTGCACCCTGTTTTGAGTTTTTGAGCTCAATAAATCACCAACACCGGTAACCCGACTGAGACTGGATTCTTGGAGGCCAAAGAACCCCGTCACAGTGACCCAAATCATCACTGTTACTGTTATTATATAGTAAATTAAATCATTACTGTTAAATTGTATGTATTGTCCAATTGTTTATTTGAATTCTTATTCCGGGTTAGTTGGAGACATACACTAGGCTATATCAGCCCCACCAAAAATATTTTTCACCAGCCGCCACTGCTCCACAAGTAGTAATCCCAGGGTTATAGCTGCGTTCTTTGTTGATGAAGTGAAAAACAGGAGCGGAGCTCCAATGCGTATCAGGACAGACCTTGGTAAAAGATGCAGATATTTTTAAGTACTCATGAAGACCAGTTTTCTAAGAGATGCTACATTATCTGCTCAAGTTATCATAAGTAAATATATAGACAAGATCTCGTAATTACGAGATAAGCTGTCTGATTTTTTTTTCTTTGGTGAAACTGTAAACCTCAGACAAAATCCCTTTTAATATGTCAAAGTATCTATATTCTGACAAATTCACATCAGAGGAAATACGAGCACAGGTTTTGTTAGGTTTATTCAATGATGATTATAAAATTAATGTGTGCATATGAAACATTTTTGCAAGGGGATGCTCCACTCCTGTCTCATGATCCAGTCAGGAGACCATCCTGCCTTGTCATTCTGTCTTCATGAACTGATCAATTGTTTTGTCAGAACAATACTCTGTTTGCAACCATGTGCTATGTTCTGTTAATGAAAGACGGCTGCAGGAGGGGATTTGGAGGAGGGAAGCTTGAAGTTGGGTTGGGCTTTTCCTTCCGCTCCTGCAGAGGCTGCTTGAATCTCTTTCCTGTGCAGACTCAATTTCTATTTATTTGCAAATCTACATTTACTGAATCCAACAGGTTTTTTTGGGAAAATTCTGTTATCAGGATTGAGCTTTCAAAGCTGCACCAGAATAAAGCTCAACATTTCTCCTTTGGAAAGATGAAGAGGAGACATATGCCAACATGTTTGGAGGGAAGCAAAGAGAATATCAGCACACCTCATACTGACTTTAGTGCTTGGTAGTGGAGGATGGTTGCCTTTTTTTAAAGCACTAACTCAGTTCTTCACTCTGTTTTTTTTTTTTATATTTAACCTTTCTTCTTAGTTGTTTAATCAAAGACAGTGTGCAACCTGTTAAACTATCCAGTTATTTCTATCTTCAAACTGTTAGTCTTAAGGTGAGATATGGAGATGATCTCATTGGCAACATTTAAGGGATGCGTCCGGCATGTTAAACTTTTGCTGTGTTACAGATCAAATCAGTATGATTTCTGTTATCTCCCAAAAGGAAAGCATCTAGAATGTGAAATATTAAGCGGTCATCCATTGCACTTTCTACCTGCGTTTATGTATATTAAAAGTCTTTTTACCCGGTTCACCTCCTGCAGTTCCTGGGTCGCCTGCAAGACAAACAGAAATGTAAAAAATGTGTAATATCTTTTCTCATCAACAACAAAATCTAATTCTGAAATGGTCCAAAATAATGTTTTTTAATTGCCTGAAGATCACATCAAGCATTTTTTTATTCACCTTTTGGTCCTGGAGGTCCAGGGCGGCCTGGGAACCCTGAAATAAAACAAACCGATCATTTATAACATGCTGAGGGATCATGGCTCTGAATATCCAAATGAAATATTCCGTAGTTTGACCACCTACCTGGCTCCCCTGGACTCCCTGGAAGACCAGGTTGACCTGGCTCACCTGAAATTAAAAGTTCACCTTGAGTCACTATAAAGTACAAGCTTTAGCAAAATATTTTGGTATTTTTTGACCTTGGTAACCTTGTGCTCCTATATCACCTAAAAAAAAAAGGTTTGTTAGACGATGGGATGAAGCTAGAGCAGTTGTTTTCTTTATAGTTTGTAAACTATGCAACAAAAATGCTACAGGCAAGAAAATATTAGGTTTATTGAGCCTACCAGGTGGACCCTGTGGTCCTGGAGGCCCCGGGGGTCCCGCAAAGAAGGTTTCTAAAGCACAATGACAGAACTGCATCAAATCCAGAGCAAAGACAAACCTAATTACTGGTTACCTTCTGGATAGTAATACTATCTTGCTAACCTGAAGTTGGCAAGAAGCTGCCAGGTTCTCCTTTCTCTCCTGGAGGTCCTGGATTTCCGACGCCTGTATGGACAGCAGAGCATGTTACCATTAAAGTTTCATGTGTGACAGAAAACATATCTCACATATCTCTCTATGCAGATGATAGATTCTTCTATCACATGTTGATCAAGCAGGACTGTTATTCACCTGGATCTCCTGGAGGACCTCGGCGGCCCGGCGGACCCTGCTTTCCCTCACCTTAACAACAGCGACAGCCTCATTAGTTTGATATCAGGTCATTTCATTCAAGAAACCTTTCTTACTGCACATCATTGGGTCAAAACTACGGCCAGTGTCCTGCATGTTTTAAGGGGGAGTGTCCGCCTATTGGTTAGAGCAGTGCGCCTGTGCTCTGAGCAGGCTGCAAGTACCTGGTTCAATCCCCACTGCTGCCCTCTGGGTCCCTGAGCAAGACCCTCAAATGTTTAGAGGATAACCTTTTATTTCCAGGTGGATCATCTAAACGAGTGGTCCTCCTAATTGTCAATGATTCTGGTGATATGCTTACGTAACACCATACTACATGTTCGCCCCATTAGCTATCTTTTTGTACGCATGCGCATTTCAGGCGTATATCTGTGGTGAGCTACAGATTCAGACAGTCATTAAAGCTCACCTTTCTCACCGCGGTTCTTTGAAAATGGTCGTAAAAAGTGCCAACAAAGTTTATGAGAAGAAAAGAAAGGCCTCAGTAGAGGCTGATATATCCCAGAATGCTTTGCGCGGAGAGTTCTCCTCATAAAGCATTATGGGATTTGCTGTCACAGCGGCCCACTGTCACTACCATATAGCAGCGTCTAATAATAAAGTTGGCGCAGGCACCGCGTGGTGGAGGAACTGGGAAGCTATCATCTGTCTGAACGGTGAGGTGGCTGAGTTACCTATATAGTCCCCGCTCTATGGAGTGATTGAGGGATATTGGGGTTAGGGTGGACGTTTAGCAACCATAAGCTTGTGTGAGCTATGAGAACAGCAACTTAAAAAAAAAAAAAACAATGCGAAGGGTAGTGTTGCCGGCTTTGCCCTATGAGCTTATGTCGTTATATTTAGCAACTTTTCAGACCCCTCTAGCACTTTATTTTTTTTTTTAAAAGCCCTTATTTATAAATAATAAAATTTAAGATACAATTCTGTATCTGTATAATGTTTTATGTGTTGTCTTTTGAATTCAGAGGGCCCCATGCATGTCTTTGCCTAGGGCCCCAGATTTCCTATATCCGCCCCTGCTGCAGACAGGAGGCCTCTGATTGGTCAAATCTACATCTGCTCTACACTATCCGTATTTCCTGTTTGGTACCTTATTGGTTTGTTTTGTTTGTATGACCGCCATTGTGGAAAACGACTCGTGAAAATGGATCAGCTATAAGAGCGAGGTGTGTGAGAACGCTGGGACCCTTTTTCCACCTGGATCTCTGCTCTTTTTAGCCCTTATGTCCCTCCGTTGTTGTGCAAAGATTCCCCTAATTCCTCACCACCTTGGCCATGTCTAGACCCACAGCTAGTTCCTGATTGTCCCTCTAGCGTTGTGGCGTTGATTAACGGAGGACGCTTCAATATTGGGCATAAATCAAAAATATCTGCGTAATACCTGTGACAAGCTCACTGCGACACACCGCTGCGGGAGAATAACCAGCCCTTAAAACATCCAGGATACTGGTTTTTAAGGAGGAACTAGATAACTGAGCTTTAAACATACCGGGAGGACCCTGAGGGCCAGGTTCACCCCGGGACCCTGGAGCCCCTGGAAGTCCAGGAAGTCCTGCCCCTGGAAAAAAAAATTGTTGTAAATTAAAATCTAAACTGAAAAATTATTACAGACTGTTACCAACTGTGTTGTTGTAAATTTTTAGCTGAGCAGTATCTTGTTACCTGGCTCTCCACGTTGACCTTGGTCTCCCTTATCTCCTTTTTCTCCTTTATCGCCTCGCTCCCCCTTTGCCCCTAAATAATTACAAAAAAATCTTTGCTCATATTTAAAAAATATATACATTTAAGATATTAAGTCAAGTCAGGGGTCCAGATTAACCTTGTTGCCCTGGGACACCAGCAGGACCAATGGGACCCGATAAACCAGGGGGTCCAGCAGGACCTGGAGGTCCAGCTGGCCCTGGAGGTCCAGGAACAGCCACAGTATCAGAATTTACTGTAAATAAAGGAAGCAAAGGATTTAATCCATAAAGTCGTAGGGGTTTCCAGGACAACAGTGCATTGACGTGTGGCTGTTCTTACTCGGGGCGATGACTTTACCAGGTGATCCTGGTTCACCTGAAGAAGAGAATAATCTGAGGTTTCATGATCAAAACTTTTAAATGTTTCCTTCCAGGAAGTTTCCCTTCTCAATGTGACTCTTCTCTCATAAGAAAAGAAGAACGATATACCTTTGCTTCCAGGCGTGCCTGGGAGTCCTGCAACACCTGAATCAGGCACCAGAAATAATCATCATAATAAATGACATTAATTAGTCAGGATATCAACAGTAAATCTGTGTGCTGTGTACCTGGGGGTCCTTGGATACCAGGAGGTCCTAGAAAACAAACCGTTTACTTGAAACAAATATCTCTTGTTTTATTTCTTGTATTTTCATTAGTTCAAATCATTATATTTGCCAAAAACATATCAATTTGAGTATGTAAGGGTACAAAAGCTGGAGAATATTTATGTACCTTGGCGACCGGCATCACCGGGAAAACCTGGTGAACCTCTTGAACCAGGAGGTCCCATGGAGCCAGGTTCACCTGAAATCAAGCACAGAAGAAAATGGTACAGTGTGGATCAGTTGTTCTACGGAGCTCCAGTGATAAGATCAGTTTCTCCACTCACCGGCACTTCCTTTAGATCCTTTTGTTCCTGCAGGGCCTTGAGGTCCAGGGGTTCCTGGTTCTCCTTTAAAACAAAAACGCTCCTGTTTTATGATCTGCTAAAACTTTGCAATGGTGTCCTGATATGTGTCCTCTCTCTGGTCTGGTTCTATGTTCAGGTTCAGTGCATCTCAACCCTTCAGGACTAACTCAACTTTTTTACAGCACTGGTGGCTCGTTTTTATGGACAGTAGGCTGACAGGAAAAGGGTAATGAGAGAGGGGGAAACATGCAGGAAGAGACCACAGGTTGGATTCAAACCCAGGTCTGCCACGTCAAGGACTAAGGTCTCCATACATCAGTCGTGTGTGCTAACCACTGCTCTACCAAAGCACGCAACGACAAACTTAACTTAAAAAAAAATGCTTTAGGGGAATCTTGAACAGGAGAACAACAAATCACCTGGTAGCGTTGGCCACAAGGGTGGCCAATGAGGAGCTATAGGTGGGCATGGCCACCCCTGACCCCCCATCTAACTTTGGCCCTGCCTTTTGGCATTTTCCACTTGTTCCTTGGTATTCATATCATAACATTCATACTGAGAATAATCACACTTTTTTCCAGAAATGCTGTGTAGGAGTCTAAAGGCCTGTTTATCCTCCTGCAGCAGTGTGTAGCAGTGAGCTTGACACAGATATTTTTGATTTATACTCAATATTGAAGCGTGGTCTGCGCTATGTTATTCCACGCCACATTGCAAGAGGGACGATCAGGAACTAGCTGTGGATCTAGATATGCCCGAGGTGGTGAGGAAGTGGGGGCAAGTTTGTGCGACAACAGAGGGACATGAGGGTGAAAAAGAGCGGGGATCCAGGTGGAAAAAGGATCCCAGCGTTCTGGCGCACCTCCCTCTTCTAGCTGGTCCAGCTTAACGAGTCGTTTTCCACAATGGCGGTCATACAAACAAAACAAGCCAGTAAGGTACCAAACAGGAAATACGCATAGAGTAGAGCGGATGTAGATTTGACCAATCAGAGGCTTCCTGTCTGCAGCACTGTCTGCGGTCACCTACAATTCTGGAGAGGCGCAGCAGAGTGTCTGTTGAAGGGGCACACGCAGACAACCTGGTTGGTTTCTGAGTATAAATCAGCCTTTATAGCCAGAAGGTTTATGTCACAAAGGAAGCAGAAACTAACTTTTTCACTTTGAGTTAATATTTTTAATGAGCTAAACTGGTTCAAACCTGCAGGTCCACGTGGGCCTCTTTCTCCATTATCTCCTTTAATTCCTGGAAAACCTGGTGTTCCACGATCCCCTGCAAGGCAAACAGTAGACAGAGATTGACTGACATTACTCCATAATGATTATTTGGATCCGTTCTGCATGAGCTACTAGAATAATCTAATCCTAAAGTCAGGTTCCTGTACCTTTGGCTCCCGGGGGTCCAGCTTCACCTTGGAATCCCTTTGGACCAGGTACACCTGTTGGCAGAGATCAATAACATAAATTACTGTCAATCGCATCACATAAAACTATAACTGGAACTGGATTTTTACCTTGACCTCCAGGGATCCCCTGCTCCCCAGCAACACCTTAAACAGAAAGCAAAGTAATATGCTTAAAAAGTCCTGGTTTCTACTGATTAAAAATATATTAAACTATTTTATTTGAATGAAACATCTATAAAAGTTTGTACAGTATTGTATAGATGTATAAATTGCTACTATGTAACTCCCAACCCTAAAACCCATGCCCCCCACCCCCGACCCGATCTCATAACAGTGAGATAAAAAAAAGACACTTGAAAAGAAGAAAATATCTTTTAGTGTCACTTAACAAGTTTACAAAGAGTTTTATAGCACCCATGTTGTTAAAAAAGTATGTTTCTGATATGAATCCAGTCCTCACCTTTAGGACCAGGTACTCCAGGAAGACCAGCAAGACCAGGACGTCCTGGTTCACCCTGGGATCCTGTAGAGTCATGATCACAATCAACACTTTTCTGCCCCTTCCAGAACCTTTTCAAATTGCTTTATTTAAATTAGCTCCAAGTCAACCTTTATCTCCTTTAACTCCGAATCCAGGTGGTCCAGCTTCTCCCCGTGGGCCCACTGGTCCTTCCCGCCCCCTCTGGCCTGGTTGTCCTTCTGGACCTGGTTCACCTGAGCCGAAAGAACAAGACACTTGGCATTTTCCTTGCCTCCCGAATAGGAAAAATAATTCAAGC